CTTTTTTTTTTTTTTTTTAAATTGACCAGCATCTCCAGAATCCAGCTCCTGTCACTGTCCCTCTGCCCCAGCCTCCACCACACAAAACGTAGACATGTAAACCCTACCACCAACTGTCCCCTCCTGCAGTCCTTGACTTCCCTCAATGGCAAGAAACCACATTTTTCTTTAATTCCCGAAGAAATCATTGGTAATTGAAGGTAGCAGTGGAATGAAATAAGGTGCACACATGGGATTCGTTCCACGAGTCAGCGACAAGCAACCACCTCTGCGGTGAAATACAGCAACACTTTAGCCTAGTTTCCAATGAAAGTAAGAGTTATCTGATCTTCTGTCGGTCCAGCTGCCTGTCCCATCCTCACAACAATTGAGCTGGTGAGCCAATTTCTGCCAAACTTGGCAGAGGCATATATCTTAAAAGCAGTAAATTCTTAGAGGTTTTGTGAAAACAGACAGCCGTGCAGACAAAAGCAGGATAAATGTGTGCCTCCACGGAAAGAAAAGCTGCAGTGAGGACGTGTTAGCTCTCCACATCGTTGGACCTACCACCCAGGCAGCAACCTGCACGTTTGCTTCCACGGCACAGGGGTGCTGCTTTCTCGGTATGTACTTTGCTTGGATTCAGCCATGGCACATGCTGCTTTTTGCTTAGCAGGTGGTTTGCAGACATAGACAGGCACCAGTGGGTGCTGGGAAGAAAGAAATGTGGGGGCTGAAGCAGGTTTAGAGATATGGTGAGGACTCTGGCTAATGAAGGAACGGCGTTAAGGGAGAGAAGACAACACATCTGAGATGAACAAGGCTTCAGTCATACAGCTGCTCATGGAATGAACTTACTCGTTTTTAAAATACAACTGCATTATTTAAGACAGTCTATAAAAAGAACATCATATTTGATAAATGACAGGAGGGTTCCAACGCGGAAAATGTAAAGTCCCCAGTCAGTACATAGCCAAGACAGGTTCTCGGGGAAAAAAAAATGAGAAGCTTAATGATGGAGCTGCTTGATGATGGAAATGATGGTAATGATGGTCATTGCTTGTTTTGTACAGAAGAAACCAACTCTGACATTGTACTTCCGACAACAACCTGGGGAACCACACCTGTGTTAGTCTAGAAGAAGATATTTCAGTTATGTACTCGCTTCCCCCCCCCCCCGTCTTTTTAAAGAATTGTCAAACAACTTGTGTGTCCAACTTCAAGGGAAAAATACATGGCTTAAGTCTTCCTCCTCCCATTTCAGTGGAATAAGACACAAGAATTCCATCTTTAAATCACTTACAGCAGGTCCCTTTCTCCCACTGAGGGATAATGTGCGCCTTATGCACTGTACTATTTCAGTCCAAAAGAAAGAGGTTAATGACAAAGCATCACTCTGATCTTCACACATTTTAAGGCTATTTAAATTAAATTCTTATTTCAAAAAGTTCGTGTGAACCAAAC